ATATATATATATATATATATATATATATATATATATATATATATAATGACATTTTACATATAACAACACTATATATAACAACATTATTCTGTGCATTCAACATAGATGTTTAATGTTTAAAAATTTAAACATACATGATATACTAAGGGTGCTTTCTTGTCGAAACCTTCAACAATATCGGCTGTTTTCTCGATATAGAGTGCTCCAACAGTTCCAGGGACAGAAATACTTCCCTGAAATCGTAAGATTTATTCTCCTAAGATAATAAAACGCAAAACCCGAAAGCATTAAATATTCGGATTAAAGGAGGTCTTGTAAATGCCTCTGGGATAATTTAATTCTTTCTCATAAGTGGTTTGGACACGTTGACACTATCACATCTATTAATACTATATTTACTATATTTTTATACTATATTTATAATACTATATTTTTACTATATTATGTTATTAGATAATACTATATTTTTTGAAGCATTATTTTCTATTTCTGTTTGAAGCCGTTACAAAAAATTATGGAAAAACTACCTGTCCAACATCCAAATCAACAAATATTGGTGTTCGACCCACCCGAACTGCATAATTACAAAGAATACGACAGACCGTTGTTTTACCCACATCTGTTGGACCAACTATCATTAAGGATGGTCCACGAGCTTGTTCTTGTTGCATAACTACTGATTCAGCATGCTCACGTAGTTGTTCCAAAGCTGCATGTGTATTCAAATAAATGATCTAAAATTTGTCTATTTCACAACATTTTGTTTCATGTGTTTTATACTTGGAAATAAAGGAGATCTTAAGGGGACAAACACTTGTAAAAAAAATGTCGGAAAAATAGCTGTTAGAACGATAAATTCGAGTAAACTTTAAACTTTAATTAAAAAAAAGCTGATGAAAAAGTAACCACATCTTTCGCATTATTAAAATTCGCCACATTGCATTCGGATCATTTTATTGCCCATTTTCCCATGTTTTTTTGCTAGTGATTTATTATTTGCTTATTTTATATTTATTTTAGACCAGAGAAGTGATATTAGGCGAAAAGAATTATCGAGCGGATTATCTCATTTGCTTGAGCATAGATCACAAGAGCAATAGAAACGATTAACAAAGATATGTGTAACATCTCTAAAATCTATGATCCTATAGTGCAATTACTTAAGCACCAAAATTTCGAAATAAAATCCTCAACGAAAACCCTTATTCAAAACATTCTTAATGTTAACACTTGTAAACAAAACAACGATACATACCATTGGAGTCTGTTCGGCAACATACGCACTTTCTGTTTTCCCAACAAGTTCCACGACAGCCTTCATCCACGTAAACACAGCTACTCTTGATCCTGGAAAGTGTAATTTCTTACCATATCTGGAAGCTTTTCGCAAGCTCACAATTGAATTGAGGAATTTCGAATATGTGCATGTAAGTTCATACTGATTTAAATAAATTTTCGTAGCGCATAATTTCTTTTATGGAAATGATGATTTCAGATAAAAATTTCGGTACCAGCTGGAAAGATGTATTTTTTGTGCTGAATAAGCTCAGTTCCAAAAACTTCCGCACGTCCATCCACAAGTTCTAACATCACATCACCATTTGCGACCTAAAATATAACAGTGTTAAGTATTTCGTAGTTTAAGCCATTCTAATTCTCTCATTCTTCTTTCAGATTCCAGAAATACTCCTACTTTATTTTCTTATAAACTTTGGACCAAAGATAAATTAAATTGAAACGTAAATTTCAAATCTTTAAATAGAAATTAAAAACCTCAAAACGCAGTTCGTTATCCTCTTTTAAAGTAAATTCTTGGACAATTTGCTCCGGAGGCGATTTCGCTGACTCCATAATTTCTGAAGAATCACTGAATTACACATAACGTTTGTGTTATTTGTACAGTACGGTAACCTTCTAAACTCTTGCATGACTTTATGCATGTTTATTGATAGTTCGATGTAAAATATATAAATTCGGAAAGATATAATGAGAAATTTCCATTAACTGCTAAACAATATCCGTCAAACTCATCATTTTCAGCAAGTCATAATGTTAAACCTTACATGTATTGGTTAATAAAAGGTTTCAAGTGGTTTTAATTATTAATTTAAAGAAGAAGTTTATTAAAAGTCTCTCGAAACCAATTCCAAACTAATGCTGAATCCAATTATGCCCGAATGCGATACGCCAACGAGTAACGAACAAGAGGTCACAGCTAGACGTTAAGAATATACTTCCAGTTAATATCTGCATGTATGTTTCTTTTCATTCTTTGGGATAACTAACTTGTATTGTTATTTCTTAATTTTATCAATGTCTTATCATATTGTCTTTCCCGATTTGAAAGGATCTCTGACGTCTGCTTCAGTTTTTTACCATTCTTAGTTACTTTCATAACTTTAGAATATGCATTTACGAGTTCCTCAATACTTTACTGATTATTTTGTCATTCCTCTCGTTCTATGCTTTCTCCAATGTCCAGTTTACCTCTTTCTAACTTTATCAACTACTGTTTCGAACTTTAATATGTATCAAACTATGTATAGCACTCCGTAGTCAGTAGAGGAGAGGCTCAGCGGAATGTAAAACGGAAATTAATTTGGCCCATTTTTTAAATATATTTTCTGTTTCGTTTTTCTTCCTCATCATGATAATATTGAGGCTATGAATCCGGATACGGACGGGGCATGGGATATTCCAGCAAAACCGGAAGCTGTTTGGGTGTTCTTCTTTTGCTGAAATAACCTTTCTCTGGTCAAATTAACAGATGTCTTTTCCAGTTAAATGATTCGATAATGGACGTCATTAAATGATTCGATAATGCTGATGAGATTACATCGTAATTTCAGATTATTTTCAGGACAAGGAATATATCTAGTGGAATTGGAGTTGGGAACTATGGCCTTTACACAGCCAAAAACATCAGTGGAAATACCGCTAAAAGATAGTACCGAAAATGTAAGTAAATTTAGTTTTTAACGAAGTCATGCTGTGTAAAAGCCCTGATCCGTTTAGAGTAAACAGTTCGAGACAAATTCATGCCTCAGTCAAGAGGGTAGACTAAACGGAATGGTTTGACTGTTGTCATCCGTCTATCCCATGATGTGAAGTACATAAGGGTCAAATATTTAAATAACCCTGGTGAAATATTGCTGATGCAATGAAGAAATATTGTTGATGCATGCTATGATTAATTAGTTTGACTTTGGTTTTTTATATGTCAGCTGTAATTCATTCAATTCTTTTATGATCCAACGACTGAAAGCATAAAACGTGAAATTTAATTGTTAGAATTGTGGAATATAATACTAGGATATGCAACGATATGTGCGAGATTTCTGTGTAGAAATCTGGAATATAACGCAACGCTGGGAAGAATTAAATGGATTAACATACAATTTGCTGGAAAAAATTGTCAATAATCGTCTATGTCTCATGTATGCGCAATCAGTTGACGTTGCGGAAGAGAGAGACGTAGAGGGAAAAGAGCCTGAATCTGATCTAAGTACTTTGCTGCTCGCTGAAAAAGATAGCGGCTACAGGACCACAAACGTTGAATTGCAAAGAAACCGTTTGGAACAGGATGAAATTAGCAAAATCACCGAAAAAATTGTACGAGATGTGGAAGAACTGGTGGCACTGGTCAATGTGCAAATGTCGCGGATAGTTGATGAGCTCCAAAGCATGCGTGAACGACTTGCAGGATTGAAGAAATTAGAGAATATGCAAGGAGATAGACGAAATCTGCCTGGTTTAAAAAATCATAGATTAAAAGAGCTGAGTGAAATTTTGCCGCTTATTGTGAAAATGTACCAGGAAGAGCTGAAAGCAAAACGTGCTGCGCTTGACGATTTAGCTAATTTCAATAGTAGAGATATATTTTTGGCTATTACAGCATCCTGGTCTCACCAGGCTTTTATAGATCGTTCCACGTTGAGTCGATTATATGCTCTTGTTGTTTAAGTAAAATGTCACAAGAAAATTATCACGGGATTGATGTGTCAAAGTGTTTGCATACTTGTATAGAAATTGACATACTTCGTATCTTTTATGCTTGTAAGGACTCACTTTCTTCATCCACTAACTTCGTGGAAAAGTTCTTATGCCTTTCGATCTCAGTTTGTAGAAAATCTGATGGTTTTTAAAATTAATTTCTATAGTCTGTCTTTGATTATGTGAAATATTACCATCATTTACGTTGTCTTTGTTTCTTTATTTGAATAAATTTTCATAAACTCCAAAATTTTTGCAAAATAACAGTACTTGTGAAGATTAGAATTTTCGTCTGATTTCATAATATCAACTTTATACAATCCTAATAGGAATATTGTGGCGTAGAGAAATCATATGCTTTAGTTATCATCTATATTATACTCTTTTGCGGCTTAATTCTGGTTTTTTGCAGTGTCTTCAGTTTTTTGGAAGATCCGAATTTGAAAGACAGAAAAATAGGATGGGCGATGGTTCCATCGCATATGATCTCTTTTGCTTCATCATCCATTATATTTTTTTTTCAGCGTTGGAAATGAAAAAAAAAAAAAAAGGAAACGATAGTTTTGGCTGCGTTGATATGCAACGATGTTTTAGGAAATAATCGAATTGGATTTTGACAATTTGCCCGATGATGGTGAAGAAGTCCTTGCAATTTTACGTGGTGAACATGCAACACTAAATTTTTGGGTTGATTTAGCGGTAAGTATTCCTAGGTCTACAAATGTTTTTTAATTTTTGGTAGGTTATTAGCTTTAATAGAGAAATCATTTCTGTGGGAATTTCGTTCAGTTCTTTCTGTTCAGCTGGCTTACTATCGTCGCGGAAATGAAGCTGATTTTGTTCGCATATTGGAAATGAGTGGTTCAGAAGCAAGTCTGGAATATCCAGAATATCATCAGGATCAGATGCGAGCTCTAGATACACTTGCTGCTTATTATGTAATCCAAGTATGTTCTCCCATTTTGATTTTTTGAAGTTCATATGCTTAAGTTTTTCTCACAGTAGATTTCCAGCCATTGAAGAACATATTCTGCCTTTATTGTTTCAGGAGTGAAAAGTATCATTATTTGTAAATTTTTTTGACAAACTTATCTTGTACATGAAATCTTTACAGAGTCACAAGGAACGCAATAAGGACAAGAAAAAGGAGTGGCAAACGAAAGCGACATTGCTTTATACTACAGCTGACAAAATTATTATGTATGATACGTATCATCTGTTGGGGAGGGCTTATTTCTGTTTACTTGAAGGTAAAATTGATCAAGCAGAACAGCAGTTCAATTTCGTTCTTAATCAGGTGAATCCAATAATTTTTATATTTTGTTCATTTTATTGGGCATATAGATGGCGAAGTGAATTGATATTTTCTTAGTATTGTGGTGTAACACTCCATCTTACATAATTTAACGTGGTAATTATGGGTATTTTATGATACAGTTAAGTTTCAATTGCCATTTATAATGTTGTTTTGTAGTAAAACTTTACAAACTTAATTCTAAATACCACAAACACTGGGTACGATCAGAATTTTTATGAACCTTATTACTGAGTTTCGGAAGGTGAAATATGCTTTTTAGTTTTCGGATATTTGTCCTTATTGAATCTTCCTGAATTGTACAATTATAGATATTGTACAAAATTATAGAATGTGTCGGATATTTGTCCTTATTGATCCTTCCTGGGTTGTACAACTATAACTATTTTGCAAAACTATAGAATGGTATTTTCATTCAGGTTGGCGAAAATATACCTGCAACATTAGGTAAGGCATGCATTTTCTTTCAACGAAAAGAATATCGAAAAGCATTGAACTGCTACAAAAGTGTACTACGAAAAATGCCAGATTGTCCGGCAGACGTACGCTTGGGTATCGGTTACTGTCTAGCAAAATTGGGACGGCTGGACAAAGCAAGGTTGACAATTGCTGAAGTTTAATTTGCATGGCATATGATTATATCACTAGAATAAATAGAGCATTTTTCAAAATTTCGTCTCACCACAAACATAATTTTTTCAAGTTTCTAGAAAAATCAGTTTACTGGAAACAAATTCAGCTATTTTCTATAAATTTCATTATTTGTTAATCTTGGTACTTCTTAATTCAGTTCTTCAGATTAGCGTTCAAACGTGTCTTGGATTTGGATAAGGAAAATGTATCAGCTCTTGTTGCTTTGGCAATCCTAGATATGAATACATTGGAACAGGAAGCTATACGAAGAGGAGTGGAATCTCTTGGTCGAGCTTATCAAATAGAACAGGAGAATCCAGTTGTATTGAACCATCTTGCTAACCATTTCTTTTACAAAAAGGTAACTTATCTATTTATGTTTCCATAACTTTTCGCTTTTTTCGAATTCATTTCATTGATCTTAGAAAAAATGGCCGAAATTGCTATGATGTTACTCAATTTACGTTTGAAATCCCATATATTACTCATCGAGAACAGAGGGTTGTAAGTGGTTTTGGAGCGGATCATATTGTTGTGATTGTGATATCATGTTTTTTTTGTTTAAAAAATTGGTTGTATACTACTGTAACAATCTTATACACCTTTGATCTTATATACCGTTCTTTATATAATGCAAGTTAATGCACTGATTCAGGAACTGGACAGAGTGGAGCATTTAGCATGGCATGCATTTCAAATAACAGATAATGAAGCTATGCGAGCTGAGAGTTGTTATCAGTTGGCACGAAGTTTTCATCAAAGAGGAAACTTTGAGAAGGCTTTCCAGGTTGAGCATGATTTCAAAATCTGTATTAGATTGTCAATTGAATAGGCACTCATAATTGTTGTGGTTAATTAGTCACATTTTTCTAAAGGAAAGATCTTATTATGATTTTTGCGTTTCAGCATTACTATCAATCAACCCAGTTTGCTACAGCAAATTTTGTTTTACCTTATTTTGGCCTTGGACAAATGTATATTTATCGGGAAGATTATGATAATGTAAGTTTGTGAGTCAGAAATTTAGTCAATTCATGCAAATACGAAATCCCCCTATTCACATTATCATTGTAATATTTATTGAATGCTGTTTCCGTTCTCATCTCACAGGCTTCAGAAGTTTGCATCTCACAAGGCAAAACATGCAGCAGTATCGCTTTGGAATGCAATTATTCAAAGATTTCAGGCAATCCAATGTTTCGAAAAAGTTTTAAAAGGTTGCCCGACGAATTATGATACGCTGAAAATCTTGGGCTCACTGTACGCACATTCTGAGCCGGCAAATCAAAAAGAACGCAGTGAACGACGGAAGAAAGCTCGTGAAATTTTCAAAAAAGTTGTCGAAATGTGTCCGGATGACGTGGAAGCATTGATTGACTTGGCTCAATTAACAGAGAATTGTGATCCACAGGTTTTTTTTTCTTTTTTTTATTTGCAGTTATTGTTAGGAAGTACACATAGAATTCGTGCAGTAATTTTTTTTTTCCATAACTCTTATTTATGCGAAGTGTGTGTTTAGTCAAAATTGGAACTCCATTTCTTGGATTTTTTCTTTTTCAAAATGATTCATTTTGTCTGTATTCTAGAAGTGGCTAAGTAAAGGATAAACTACCTTCACCTTCATCTTCAGGTTTAAATTATAAAATATTTCAAAATTGAAGGATTGCTAGGCCAGACTAATCAGAGATGGATAAGACCTTCTCGCGTAATGTGGAATTAACGAAAAAGAGAGCGATACAAACTGTCTTTTTGTCACTTTAATCTTTCAGGGTTCCTTGGATGCCTATACAAAAGCTTCAACCTTCCTAAGTCAAATGATTGAAGTTGACGTACCACCGGAAATAACAAATAATGTTGGCTCACTATATTTTACAATAGGACAGTACGAGAAAGCTAGGGTATGCATTTCGCGGAATTAGTTTTATATGTTTTCTGATTTACTCTTTGCTGCTTTCATATAGTTTCGTTTTTTAGGAATATTTTGAAGAAGCACTAAAAGAACTTGGTGAAGTTGTTTCGACAGGACAAACGGATTTAGCAGCTCTGCAAACAACCGTTACTTATAATTTAGCGCGGAGTCTAGAGATGCTTTGTATGTTTGATGAAGCTGAACGTCTTTATAAAGGGATTTTGCAGGAAAAGCCAAATTATATTGATTGTAAGTTATTGTGACTACTATCACGAAGTTTAAAAAACCATTGCATATTACTGATTTTATAAAAGTCTTCCGTCCAAACAATATTGATGAAGCATTATAGTTCGATTCAAACTCTTCTCTAGATTTCTTCTTTCTGAACTATATGCATCATATGTTCATATGTGTTATCTGAACGAGGAATTTCATGTTGGAAAAGAAACCTTAAAATATTCTCTTTTCCTGATTACTTAGTCATTTTCCAGGTTACATGCGACTGGGATGTCTTGCTCGAGATAAAGGGCAAATTTATGAATCATCGGTCTGGTTCAAGGTATGCATTTTATAATCTTTTTTCACTGTTTTTTTTCTAAAATTTTGCTTCCAGTTTTTGAAATTTCCAAAAATTTATAGGAAGGGATGAGTGTAAACCAATCGCATGCTGATGCTTGGTCACTGATTGGAAATTTGCATATGTCAAAATTTGAGTGGGCACCGGCGCAGAAAAAGTTTGAATACATATTGAAACTTCCGGAATATCACGACGATCCATATAGCTTTGTTGCACTTGGCAATATTTGGCTTGAAACATTGTCTTCTATTCATAGAAAGAAAGAAAAGGTTTGCCCTTATCTTTATTTGATAATCATTATATTCTTGCTTGCATTGTCACTTAAAGTATTTATACCGCCGATATGACATTTATGAAGCATTGCTACAGCAAGTTTCAAGTCAAAACTGTTGCTTATATGTCGGCATTATAGGAATTTTTTTTTTTAGATTCCACCAATTTATTATGAATGCCATGGTTCTTTGGTATTTATCACAAATGCGTTTTTATCATGGTTTTAGATATCTGAAGTCGTAACCTAATTAATCTTCCACAATTTAGGACAAAGATTACCGTGAAAGAGCTTTGATGATGTATAGTAAGGCGCTAAAGGTACATCCGAGAAATATTTGGGCTGCCAATGGAATCGGTTAATGATTCTTTCTTGAGTTATTTGGAACATTTAATGTAATAATCCAATACGAAATTTAATCTCATTTCTGTTTCATTTCATTGCTTTGAAAAGTCAGTTTACAGCGGTTCAGGTTCAGTTTCTTCTCTCTATGATATCGTTGTTTTATTGTTTTTAGGATGCATATTAGCCCAAAAAGGGGCTATCCAAGAAGCAAGGGATATTTTTGCTCAAGTTCGTGAAGCGACAGCTGATTTCTCAGATGTTTGGGTTAATATAGCTCATGTTTACATGGAACAGAAGCAGTATGTCGCAGCAATTCAGATGTACGATAATTGTATAAAGAAATTTAACCGACATAATGATGTGTCACTTTTGCTATATTTGGCAAGAGCACATTATAAAGCTGGAAAATTTACCGAATGTAGACATATCCTTGAAAAGGTTTGTGCTTGTCGATTATCCAGTATTCAGAATTATTTCTATTTCTTTTAATCAGATAGGTTGTCATGAGCAATGTTGCTAACCTTCGGTAAAATTATAATACAATTTGAAATGCTGCTCATCATTTCGTATTCCGCTCATGACTGAAATGAATATTTCTGAATATCGAAATGTTTTTTCTTTTCTTTTCTTTTTTTTTACTACAGCAGTGTAATTCTTAGTAAATTACTGTAAAAAATTGACGCTGTTCAAGTTAATTATTTGACTGGAACCTTAACTATGAACTTATTATTGACCACTTGATCACTCCATCATTTAATTTGAACTTTAATTTTATATCCCACGATCGCTTGAAGGTTTTATAGGCTATATGTGAGGCACCGGATAACATGATGCTGAAATTCAACCATGCTTTTGTTTTGCAAAAATTAGCGACACAAATGCTTCGTGATGATAAATCATCACTGGAAATGGTGACTGGTGCTGTGGATGATTTGAGAACAGCAGCGACGTATGTTTCAGTTTTTTTTTCTTGGATTTTTATTAGATTGTTGTCCTTTTTTCTATTACTTTTAAATTTAACGCGGTTGGGTGGTATTTACGATTTCAGGATTTTTGAGTACATATCACGAAACAAAGACGATACAATGAGCCAGGCACGAGTCGTTAGCCGAACTGCTTCTGCTAGCGAAGCTCGAGCATGCTATGATTTACTTACACAAGCACAAACTTACCTGCAGCGAGCCAAGGTATATTACACGTTGTTTTAGCATACTTAATCATCATTTTTGCTTACATTATGAAAAGTAAATGATCTTGTGCGCAAACATATCACGTCTAGCTAGATTTCGAATTTTTCAGCTGACTTTGTTCATACGAATGGGAGGTATTATTTTTCTGTAATAAATGGGTGCAAATATACCTTAAATTATTATTTCTAGGCACAAGATGAGGAGGAACAAAGGCAGCGACAAAGGCAAGAAGAAGAACGACAAGCTCTCAAGCGACAACAAGAACAGGAAGCTAAAGAGCGTGAAGAAAAAGCTAGACGGGAGCTTGAAGTTCTGAAACAAATGCGGCAAGAATATGTGGAAAAGACAAAAGAGATACTTAGATTACCAACGGTATGAATAGATTTTTGAATTTTTTTGGAGGTTGCTTGTTTAGGTATAATTGTCTTCATTTCTATATTTTAAAAACAAGTTTTAAATTATAGATATAAAATTAATTGGTAAGGTAACTGGTAATTGCTTGATTCTTGGTTTGTTTTTCAAACAACATGTTTGTGATATTTGTAGATCGTTGAAGAAAAACGAGTACGTGGTAGTGGAAGGCGTCGTAAAGATCGTGAAGGTGATGAGTTCGTAAATGATGACAGCGATTTAGGTGATTGGAATGCAGCTGAAGGAGGAGAACCGCGGAAAAAGGTTTTTTTTTAAATTAGATAATTGGGTGGAGCGGCTTCTTTTGATGGAATTTTTGTCGAATTCTTTATTTAAGAAGGAAAGAAGGGGACGCAAAAAACGTGAACGCCGTGAAGTATCAAGTGGAGGGAGCGGTGGAGAAATGGATGAAGCGGAAAGCCGTAATCGCCGAGAAGGACGTAAATCAAAGAAAATGCGTTTCGACCACAGTGATTTTGAACTGAGCGCAAAACAAAAAATGAAAGGTTTCCATCATTTTTAATTTTCACGAAATTTTAATTTTATTTTGGGGTTGCAGTCGATACCTATTGAACTAGTAATTATGAATGAGTTTTTAGATTTCTCATGTACTTTTTTTGTAAATGTTTCTAGGTTATTTTTTATAATTTCTTTTTTGTTACGTGTTTTAAAATAAATGTATTTTTGTCGCATTTACTATTCCATTCCTATTTGTCGTATTTCTAATCAGATATTTACGTTTTCCAGTGAAAAGTCGTGAATTTGTGCAGTCAGATGAATCAAGTTCGGATGGGGATGTCAACAAACCATCGAAATCACGACTTTCAGATGATAGTGATGTGGCTGGGTCGCCTGGACCGACAAAAACTGCTGAAAGTGATAGCAGTGCTGCGGAAGATGCTGCCCAACGAACAGATTCTGAAAATGATAGGTTTATACTTTTTCATTTATTTGGAATTATAGATTACGTAGTTAAGTCAATTTATTAAAAAGGGTGAATTGATGTGGGAGCGAGAATTGGAAACAATAACTTGAATGATTTTAATGCTGTACAAAAATATAGGTGTCGATTTTGGCTAATTGTTTCTATTACATCAGACGACTTTGGTTTTTGTTGTCGAATTTAATCGGTGAAATTTAATTAAACGTATCGTGTTTGATTCTTTACGCCCATAATTATTACGATTAGCAAGACTTGCTTAGGTTTTCATTTTATGCTCTCTCGGTGCTTACTAAGATCACAATAGCATTGTAAGATCCGCATCCTTGAATCGCCGTTCCCAAAGTTGTTCCCAACTTGAATCGTTGTTTCCTATTCGACATCTGCATTTTATCCAAAGGCTATGTTTAGGTATAAATGCTAAATTTTGCACCAAACAAAATTTTAGAATGAACTTTGTCGTTTTTCCTCTCACAGTAGATGAAGTGAACCAATGTATGATTAAGTAACAAGTAAATGGACGAGTATAATTAGATTTTTCCAGCCTCAACTTGCATTCGAATGTTCATTTCATTTGGAATTTAATTACTGCTTTATAAAGAAATAAGTAATTTGGAAATAATATTCAGTGAGAATGGCCAACCAAAAACAAAACATATAACCAACAGTTCGGATCAAAGCAGTGCGGAAAGCTCAACGGAGGATCGAGCACGTTCACCTAGTGATACCGATGATGATGAAGTCGAAAAAACATCTGTAAAAGCAACCAAAAGGAAACGAATTGTTTCATCAGATGAGGACGGCTCAGAAAATAACGAAATTGTTGAAAATAATACAGGTCTTGGTGACAATGGCGTTGACGAAGATGCTGGTTTCGCGATAGCTGATGATGACTGAATTGGATTTTATTCTATAGAGTCATTTAAAATTTTATTGCCTAGGATGGTCCGAACTTTTTTTTGTGATTGCTGTGATTTTTAAATTGAATTTGCTAATGGTTTTTGTTGGAGTTCAATTTCTTTTCAATTTTTTAGAAAATTTAGTCTCATTTTTAATTTTTTGGAACGAGAGATTATAACTCTGTTGAAAGTGTATGCTATAAGATTCTATCTGAATTTAAAATTCATTCAGCTGGATTCGTTTTTCACTTTATTCGGTACACTTAATTTCAGTTCATAGAAATGTTGGTTTCATTTCTTCTAAGAAAATGATTGTTTATATTCGGAGATGGGCACGAGTTGGCTCATATTTACTTTCCAGAAATCAGATCATAAATTTATTTTTTTCTTCGTAAAAGCACGGATTTGAATTGAAAGAGGCGATATAGAGCAATTTGTTTAATTAATGTTAACTTTTTTAATATCTTGGAGATATGAACATCTGCAAGAATTTATCCTTTTTTCAATTATTATAAACCATTTTTCAGTCCGTGCACTAGCTATGTTCGCTTTGCTATTATTTCAATAATATGAAAAAATCGGGAGATCTCGATGACGAGTTATTTTCATAGCTTTTGCTATGTTCATTTCTGCATAAAATAGGTTCATTTTGACAAAATACTACAAACAAATTCAAATTTAGCAAACCAAAATCTCAAAAATACAATGAGATCAGTGAATGAGACTTCTGGAAATTGCTATTACATTCCATTTCTTTTAGACTGAATCACAATAAAGTTTTGGTAAATCACACTCCTAAATCAATCCACTAGACATAAATATTGGCTCGTAGTTGTTTACGCCATTTGCTACGTCTATTTTGAAACCATACCCGAACTTGCGCTTCTGATAATCCAAGTCGTTCGGCGAGCATTTCGCGCTCTGGAAAGTTTGCAAAAAGTCCCGGTAATTTTGCAAATTTTAAGATTCCAAATCTTTCTAGTATTTTCAAATTCAAAAATTTTTTGAAATCACATTTAAAGAGATCTTCCTCACTCTAAATTCACAGCAAAAGACTTAATTTGTGAGATTCAGGTTAAGTTGGTCACCTAATATTTCCAGAGTGTTTATTAGCTTTATCACTAAGCTTTATTTATAATCAAAGGAATTTATAGATGAATATTTAAGCGCATATAAATTCGCAAAAATGTCAGTAGATTGTTTTTGTGACGATATTAAATTACTTTCATCTTACCTGTTCCAACCATATACTGTTGCTCCTCAAAGGCTTTCTCCAGAATTTTAGTTTGTGAAACACCATAAATAGTTCGTTGTTTACGACCTTTACCAGTTCTTTCATCATGTTGATGACGATTAGATGTAGAAATATCGCAACGTTTATTTAGAGTAGATCCACTGCAATGTTTTCGAAGCAAACGATTAATGGAGAAATCTGATGATCGTTTCATATCTGTTCCCATTGAATTATTATCGGAATTATTTTCATTGATTAAAAATTGTCTATGAAAATTTGTTGTAGTTAAAGGATGTCTGATAGGAGTTATCCATTCTGTTGGTTGTTGAAAACCTTTAATTTCTGTTATCTTATGATTAGAGGTTAATGTAGAAATGGTTGATGCAGGTGATGTTTGAGGAGTAAACATTGACTTAGAAATATGTTGATCTAATTGAAGTAATGTTAATGGTAATAAACTTTCCAATGATGGTAATAAAGGATAACAGGTAGCATTAACATTTAATATTGGTTCCTTTATAGCATTTAGTTCAGAAAAAATATTTAATGTTTCCGGATTTTGATTGCTACTAATTGGACTGAGATTTTGGGATTGTTGCAGGAGTTGTTGTTGTTGTTGGAATGTCGATGATGTGTTAAATAGTGAAGAATAAAGCGTAGATGGAGCAGTTGGTGTAACCGGAATTGTGAATCTGGTACCAAGAGAACATTGATTCTGAGTAACTGATGGATTCACATATGATGCCAGAGTTATAGCAGCGTTACAAGGTGATGCATGTAGGCACATATCTTTTTTGGCATACAAAATCTGAAATTTCGTTTTTTTTTTTCTTTTTTGCTGCAAATATCAATATCAAAATGGTACATTTAAAATTATCAAAATTATCTTTTGAAATGTGAAAATCGATTGATTAGATTAATTGGAAATTATCTTTAATAATGCAAAAATGCATTACAAAAACGAAGAAATCTTAACCAAATTACCATCAAAACATTGAAATAAATATAAGGAAATGATCACTTAACTTACATACTATTACTAAAATCATACATGAAACTAACATTATATCCTCCTCAGAATATCATTTGTGTGTAAATGTGTGTGTATGTGTATGTATGTGTATGTGTATGTGTGTATGTGTGTGTGTGTGTATATGTATATGTGTATGTGTATGTGTGTATGTACGTGTGTATATGTATGTGTGTATGTGTATATGTGTATGTGTGTATGTGTTTGTATGTGTATGTTCTAATTTTTATGTTCAATAAATTATAATATCTAATTCAGGCATGTCATATTCTCTAGAAAATGAATTATTTAACTATATTCATGCTATTGAATCGTTTTTTGTAACATAAATATTCTCATCATAATATGCATATTATATCATTAAAATAAGCGATATTAAATGTATGCAAATATTTGTTAAAGTTGGACTATAAAGTTTAAAACTATTGAAATTCTATCATTTATTATCTTCAAATGTTATATGAACAATTTCCCCTCTATAATTATTAGTAAATTTATCACAAAAAAAAAATATGCAAGAAATTATGTTAATTCATTATTACTTTAAAAAATAATTAAAAAATTTTCTTGAAAAAAAAAAGAACAAGAAAATTAGATGTTATAAATGAAAAGAGGAATTTTTCAAAATTTTTTTTTTTTTTAGAAATTGGAAATGAAAATCGAACACTTAACAATAACTAACAAAATACCTTTAAATGCTTCCCGTATTTGCCAGATTTTTTGCAATCTAATACATTAGGAAGCCGTATATAATCTTCGGTATCTCTTGTTTCCCTATTTCCATTTCCAATTTCCATTTCCTATATACATTTTATGATGTTTTGGAAGATTTCAAATTAAATTTGCAAAGAAAAAAAACAAACAAACAAACAAACATATGAAATACAACTGAACTAAATCAAAAATTTTTACAAATAAATTATTTTACAGCGCGAAAAAAAAATTTTTTATCAACTAGTCGCATCTGCATTTTTAAAAAAGAATGGGAACCTTCGAGCTATTTGATAAGATGAAAGTTTCAATTGTGAAAAGTGATAAATCATTTTTTTTTTCTCATCATAAATCATGCTTCTGCTATTATCATTGTTATCAGTGATACCATCATTATTTTCATCACTAATCATTGTAATTAGATAAACTTATAAGCGATAGAATAGTACAACAGAGGAATGAAATAATGAAATAATTGGAAATGTTTAACATTAAAAAAAAATATGAATTAATTTATTTCATAAAATAATTAAAATTTTTTGGGACAAATTAATGCTTATAATGCTTATGAATTTTTTGAAATATTAATATTAAGTATTATTATTATTAAGTATTACTATTATCTATTTCTTTAACCTAACATTAAGGTTTGCATTCAGTAAGGTAATATCACTTACTTTCCATTACCTTCCTTTAGAGTAATTATTAGTAAATTTTTAAAGATAACAGATTTGTAACTTCAATTTTTGGCCTTCTCTAATATTTATTCTTTCACTTGTCCATTCAAATTAGTTATTTCGTTTCTAAATATAGAAAATGATTTATTAAATTTGCAATAAAATTTATAGCTTAGCTTAATTATCAAAATAAAATGGCCAATAAATATCCAGGGTTCAACTTTACTGTAGGAATTAACAGAGAGAGAGAGAGGAGGGAGAGAGAGAGAGAGAGAGAGTATTTAGATAGAATTTAGGTTTTTTTTAATT